GAGACCCTCCTTTCTTATACAACCTTACTAATAAACCCCTAACTTCTTACCCAACCACTTCTAGGAATATATACTGAGCACATAGATCCCCTTTTTGATATACTAACCAATCATTAGCACTCATTTAACCTCCTCTTTTACCACTCCCATTTGGGGTTATAAAAGAATGCCTGACAGTCACTACCTGAAGAAAATTCTTACCTACCTTTATGACCCCATAGAATTCAAGCCTGGAGACTTTGCTAGGCCAGAGGATTGCTATTGCTTGGGTTTATAACTGGATTCCAGAGAGACTTAGAGAGAACTGAGAGAATAAGGAGACAGAGAAGAGAAAAGAGAATGGGAGAACTAGATGTGTAAAAACTTAAGAGGTACAAACTGAGACAAGGAAGAACTAGATTGAAGGGTGAGAAGAGAGTACTAGAGGAATGAGATGAAAGATGAGGAAGAGCCAGATGGGGAAGAACAAGATAGAAAGAATAAGATGAGGAAGGAGCTAAGATGGGAAAGAACTAGATGGATGAGAACCTAGATGGGACAGAACTAAGATGAGAGAATTAAGATAGAACTTAGAGGGGACAGCAGATTAAGGTAGGGAGAAATCAAGCAAGAAAGGAGCTAGACATGAGAGCAGAATAGAAGCTGTGTAGAGAAAAAAATGACACAGAATAACAAAGTGTACGGACTAAGGAGTTTCGTGTATATAGATTCATTTCTTTTCATCAAAGATAAATTATCAGCTGATTGTAGATTCTTCCCTGACCCTGGGAGGGGACTATCGAGGGACTGGACCCCCCATAGTCCCTGATACGCAGTGTGGGTCCTGATCAGGAACCACCTCAGCCCCAGGTGGATGGGCAGCATTAATTTGATGAACTTTGTCTGCATGTATCCTAGCCTGCTCCAAACTCATCTGCACTCCTCAAGAAGTAGGTAGTAGGTTATTAACAATTCCATATTAAATATTGGAATTGTTTAATAAAGGAAGCAGAATTAGAGGTATAAGAGCCCAGTTTTTTTTCTATCTGAGAAAGTTCTGCAAGGGAGAAAGATACGTGAACCTTAACCAGTCCTTTCACCCTGACCACCTCTTGCAAAGGGAGAATAGTTGCCAGGTTGACATGACTGGAGTCAAGTCCCTTAGCAGCTCTTGAATGAGTGATAGGAAGAGTAAAAGTTGGAGCCAGATTCAGGTGGTTGGAGCAACCTGATATCAGAGAGGAGGAGGGGACTAGAGGAGGAGCTGAGGGGGCAGACGCCCGAGGAGTGGGAGGTTGGATAAGTGGAGGTTCATTTGCAAGGTCCAGAGGAGTAGTCAGAGATTCCTTAGGTTCAGGTTGCATGGCTAGGAGCACATGGGCAGGAGAAAAGGAATCAAGAAAGGAGGGTTTAAAGCTGAGGTTAAAAAATAATAATAGTAATATTGGGTGTAAGGTAATTTTCCATTTGCCTGTTTGCTGGCAGGAGTTAGATAATTACCATAAAATATCAGGGTCCAACAAGCTATTAGGTGGCCATTTTTTATTGTTATCTAAGGAATATTTAGGCCATTTTTTAGTGTACAGGCAGACAAGCTTAAAGGTCTTTAAGTAAGGCATTAAACTGAGAGGCTTAAATGTTTCTAGAAGACATCCCAGAGGAGAGGTGGAACTAATAGGGTTGGGAAACTTATTTCCCATGACCATGGTAGAGAGAAAAAAAAAATTAAAAATTTAAAAAAAAAAATCATGATCCAAGACTACAATCTCAGGCGTCCCCAAGATCAAGTGAGGATCAGCAATTAGCACAAGTCATTCAATACTTCATCAAGCCACAGAATGAGGACCAGGACGTACATAGCCCGAGGATGAGGATCTGATAGCAAGAACAGTATCTCAGACTGAAGTCATGGGAAATGGCTAGAGATTTAAGCCTGTGATGGGGGTCAACTGCAGCCAATGAAGGCATGGACAAGGGTTCCCCCAATCCTGGGGGCAGCAGAAGAATGCTGGACAATCAACGATCATGCCCACAGGTCCAGGGGGCTGTTTACACTGGCTGGAAAGGGAAAACTCACTAATTGAAGTAGCAGGTGCTAGGCAAAGTGGTCTGGCACCCAGGTAAATGGAAAAGTGGGCAGTTATAGGTAGAGCAAACCTCGGTACAGGGTCCCAGACACAAGGCACTGGGAAGACTTGCTTCATCTTGGCACCAATGTTATTCATTAAGTGCTGCTGTTTATGGTGAGAGAAAAGCCATAAGGTACAACAAAACCCACTATAAGAGTTTTTTAAGGGAGTAGAGAGGGGGTATGCATAGGCCTATGGAATGATCGTGCAGGAAGAGAGGGAGGGAATCAGTGAAACCCTCTTTTATAAGTTCCCACAACACCCACACATGCACATATGGGCTTATATAGCTATGCCACATATGCGCATAGATTACGTGATCACACTGCACACAAATTACGTGATCACATAGAGCACAGATTATGTAGGACGTAAGGCCCTGGGATGACTAAGCATCTTGCCCGGCTACTGGACAGTGCACACGTGGTCATGTAGCTGGGGGAGTGGCTAGGAATTCTAACATTACCTGTCAAGGAATGCTGTTAATTGGAAATGGAACCAGCCAAGAGAATAGAGTATGTTGTAGTCAACAAAGCTGAAAGGAGTTGGAGACCTGAAAAGTGCTCTGACATCAGACATGGAGACGGAGTGTTTGAAGTGCCCAACTGGTTTTCAGTCTTGCTTTGGTCCAGCATTGCCTTACTCTACTCCCTTGCCTCCCTTTTGGAATTGTGATGTACACCCTGTGCCATTGTATGTTTGAAGTATGTGATCTGCTTTCTTATTTTGATTTTACAGAGGATACAGTTAAGAGATTACATGAATCTCAGAAGAGACTTTGAACTTTGACTATTATAGACTATGCAGGCTTTTGAAGTTGGACTAAATGCATTTTGCATTATGATATGGTTACAGGCCTATGGAGGCCAGGGAGTGGAATGTGGTGTTTTGAATAAAAGTCCCCATCATAGTCCTATAGGGAGTGGCACTAATAGGAGGCGTTACCCTGTTGAAGTAGGTGTGGCTTTGTTGGAGGAAGTGCATCACTAGGGGGCAGGCTTTGAGGCCACAAATGCTCAAGCCAGGTCTAGTGTCACAGTCACTTCCTACTGCCTGCCAAGAACCACAAAAAATATTCCACTGGTGGATGAAATACAGCATGGGTTGTAAAGAAAAGCATATAAAAGTACATGGAAAGAGGAAGCTTTTGCTTTTTGTCTGCTTGCCCTCACTCACTGGCAAGTTCACCTGTCCAGCCGCTGAGGCATCCCTTCAGTGGTACTAGAACCTACTTCTTCAGGATTCCAGTGTAGAGTGAAGACAAGCAGCTTTCCAGGAATCCTTCAGGACTCTACCAACAGACTGGGACTGATGAGACATTTAGTCTCATAGAATGAACAACTACAGCCATTTTTGGACTACCCAGACAGCTACCTATAAGCCACCCTAATATATAGAACCCTAACTAATATTCTGTGAGAAAAAAAAAGATAAAAAGTGCCTTGAGAAGTATATGTCTTTAGAGAAATAGGTGAGCACATTTATTAAAGTGAGAAGCTAACTCATGTCTTAAATGAGTTATTAAATGTCTTATTAGTGTTAAAAATGATAAGTGACACTGGTTACTGTGCAGAAAAGTCACGAGCCATGAGCCACAACAAAACCCAGTGTCAGAGCTTTATTGGGAAGGGGGGAAACAAAAGAACCAGGCCTGGGGAGAAGCATATGCAGAGAGAGAGAACAGAGAAGAGATAGTGAGGGGAAGAGAGAATGGAGAAGGGAAGGGGGGTCTGTGTCTGGCTTTTTTAAGGTTCCCGCAGGTGGGCTTATGGAGCCACTCCATGCATGTGCTGATTGCATGACCACACCGCTCGCATGTAATCACTAACGCGCACTGATGACATAAGACGCAAGACCCCTTGCCTAGCTCCTGAACTGAGTATGTGCGGTCATGCAGCTGGAGCAGTAGCAGAATCCCAACACATAGGGCCCCACAGTCTCCACGGGAGTCAAAGATTTGTCAAAGGCAGGGGCTTCCATTATCTGTAATCTTCCTTTCATCTACCCAGTGACTGATTCAGATAAACCTGTTCTCCTGTAGAAATGAAGCAGATATGGGTAGAAAACTTTTAGGCAGAACTTGTATCATTCTTGTTGGTGACCAGATGTACAGAAAAGACCACAACAGTGAGTTCCGTTCTCATTTTGCTTTCTGTTGAATGGATAACAGAAAAAAAAAAAGAGTCCAGTGAAAGTGATTGATGGCAGATTTTATTTTCTGTAAATTATGAAGATTAAAGGAAACTACATTTCTTAAGTTAACACTCATGTTGTAAAACTAAAGGCTGTGATTATTGATGCTTTTTATTATTGCTATGTTGTCTATAGACAGTTAATTCTTAGTCTCTATTAATTCTGAAGCAAGAATCATGAAGGAAAAAATTTAGTTGTTTTCATGTAAAAATCTAAACAATATGAGATATGTTGTTCTTTTTGATAACTAAAAACATTTAAATGGAAAAGAAGGTAAGTGCCATATCAGACATACATACATCAAAGAAACAGAGATGGTAAGAAAATCCAGTGAAATATTTTAAAATGAAAATATTAATGCTAAAACAAATTTCTCTAGGCAAACACAGGTAGGGCAATTAAACTCAATTATTTTGGTTTATAGTTTGTTTATAACCTGTCACTTTTGTACACTGCCTTAATTCAATGTTTCTCAAATATTCATTTGAATAGTTAAAATTTTCCAACAAAATCTAGAAAGTACTCAAATATCTTCCTTAGTCTTTCATGAGATGAGCAAAAATATTCAAAATTAATATGCTGTTTCAATTTTAATCACTGATCACTCATTGATTTTAGAGGTTGGTAGAAAATAAGAGAAGCCTCCAATGTTCTAAAAATAACGGAATTTTTTTTCTAAACTCCATTATTGGCTATAAATTAGATTCTCTGGTATCCAGATGACTGATATCTTTGCCGGATTTTGTAGACACCCAGACCCACAACACAGAGGATGACCACGATGGCCCCGACCACAGGAAGCACAACTGTGTAGTCAGACAAGCACTCATCCACTACAAGAGAAAAGAAAACAAATACAATAGAGCAGTAAGACTGGGTCATGGGGGCGGGGCAGGGACTGTAGCCAGGATATAAAATAAATCGATGAATTAAAAAATACATTTTATGAATAGTACTGGGAAAAAATTTTCCTCTGGCATTTATTGTCATAATTCTAAATATAAAAAAGCAAATCATGGAATTTCTTAATTGATTAGCCTAGTATAGATTCTGCCATGTAGATATTAGTGGTAACTCTAATGAAGATTTATAATGAAGAGGAGCAAGCTGAGCAGGGTAAATAACAAAATGTAAATTTTGAGGAGAAAAAGAGCACCAGGAAGTGGAATGGAGCTAAATCCTGTGTTCAAGAAGATAAATGGATTAAGAAATGGAATAAAAGGAGTGGTGACCTTGGGGCAAGATCCTACCCAGCTAAATTTCCAACTTGTGAAAAGGAATTAAAGAAAAGTTTGGAGCCGAATGTAGTGTGGCACACCTTTAATGCCAGCACTCAGGAGGCAGAGGCTGGTGGATCTCTGAGTTTGAGGCCAGCCTGGTCTACAGAGCAAGTTTTAGGACAGCCAAACTTAAGCAGTGAAAGACAGAAAGCTAGTGAAGATGTAATTAAACAAGGGGGCCATGTTCCAGCCTCAGCAAGCAGCAGAACTTGGTAGTTTTGGCTAAGTGGTTCTGAACTTAGAATTAAGGATAGAAGAAATATGCAGAGAGTGAGAGACCTGGGAAAACCTTGCCCTAAAAGAGATGTCTCCATCAAATCCCTCCCCTCAGGGCTCAGGGAACTGTGCAGAAGAGGAGGCAGAAAGAATGTAAGAGTCATAAGCGATGGAGAACATAGAGGAAACAAGGACAGATACACATATGAACTCATGGAGACTGAGACAGCATACACAGGGCCTGCATGGGTCTGGACCAGATGCTGTACTAGAGTTGAAAGGAGAAGTGAATCTACTCCCATCCCTAAGCCAGAAGCTATCACCAATCAATAGCCACTTGCAAATGAAAACTTAGATTTTTCACTGGGGAAACAAACCACTCTTAAGGTTAGGCCCCATGCCCAAGAGTAGATGGCCGACAGAAAATGAACTCAACAGCATCTTTGGGGGTTCTTTGTCTCATAATGTTAAATCAGGACTTGTTTTTTAACCTTACAGATCCTTTGTGTATATATTATGGCTTTCAGTTTGGGGTTTTTATGGGATTCCTGTGTATGCGAATGTGTGTGTCTGTGTCTATACGTGTTTCTTGTACTTTTTCTATGTCTCTTTTTCTTGTTTGGTTGTTTTCTCACATACTGATTTGTTCGATTTTGGTTTATCGTATTGCATTGTATCATATCATATTGTATTGTATTATTATTCCTTAGATGCTTGGTTTATTTTTCTAAAGAGAAACAGAAAGGGGTGGCGGGAGCTCTCTGATCCAGGATGAAAGAAGTGAAGGAGGTGCTCTTAGGGAAGACACCGCCGCTCCGTGAGTGGCCTGCGATGTCTGCGTCCCTCAGCCCTGGACTAGACGGCCCCAGCGTTTTCTAGTCAGCACCTTACCCCCACTTCCTTTTTATCTCGAGCCTGGGATCCTGCTCCAATGCCTTCCAAGGTACTCAGGCTTAAGAGCCTGGACTCCTTTCCAACCTTTCAGGGGCTGAGGTAGAACCTTGCTTATCCCTCAGACTCCTGAGGCTAGTTGACCTTGCTCTTTCCTCCTGCATGTTTCGTTTCCCCAACCCCACACCCTCGTGGACCGCTCCTTCGCTGCCTTCCAGGCTCCCTGCAGCCCACAAGCGGTGCCTGGGCCAGGACTCAGGATGGAGCCCTTCTGCAGAAGGCTTTGCTCAGGGCCTCAAAGACTTCCTGCCTGGTATGAGCCCTGCCATACTTGCTCTGAAGAGCCTCCCTGAGGGCTTGGCTGTGGGCCCCTCCCGCGCCAGGAAACAGCACTCGGGGGTCTGATGTATCAGAAAGACCCTGAAGCTCGGACTTCATTGGGGACCTCTAGAAGTGGACTCCGTCTTGGAGGAGAAGAGCGAGGGAGTGAAGCCACAACACGAGGAGGACCGGTCACTTGGCTAGTCGGGTGCCATATGCATCTGGAAGCAAAGTTCTGCTTGGATCAGTTTGGTGCAGCAATCTAGGCTGCAGAGTGATGGAAGTGGGTCTTTGGTTTGGATCAATGAGAAGCTTCACCGGCAGGTGTACTAGACTGTGTTGCCAGGCTCTGAGTTGCTGCTGTGCCCACAGTCTCCCTCCAAGAGCCTAAGTGTCATGCACCCCGGGCTAGAGGAAGTAGCAGCTGTAGAGGCAGACGAGGAGTCTGCTACACAGGAAGAGGTGCCCCCCCCGCCCCCTGGCCCTGGCCCCAGAGGATACAGCAGAGTCTTGCACAGATCCTGGTCATGAGTCACCCCATAGTCTCCAAGGCGAAAATATGGTAGGTTCTGGACCTGTGGCCCAAACCGGGGATCAACCTTTCAAGGACAGCCAAGCCCTTGGCTTGTTGCTTCAAGATGACAGCATGGATAAGGAGTGCCTGCCACAGATACCACCTGAACTTCAGGGCAACTTAGCTGCCCAGAAGAGCCCAGAGAGCAATGAAGCCAGTTTATTAACTCCCAGGGGGCCCCAGGTGCAAACCTGCCCAGTCAAGAAGTTACATGTCCCCAGCAATGAATGCCTGTCTACAGTAAAGATCTCAGAGAATCCAGCTCCCTAACTTCCTTGTACTGCTATGCAGCCCTCCTGACCCAGAAGAAAGCTCCTCAAAGCAGGGGCGAGAATACCCGGTGTGCGGAGTGTGGAAAGTCATTCCTGCAGCTGTACTACCTCAAGAAACATGCATTTATGCACACATACCACAAGCCTTTCTTGTGCACTGAGTGTGGCAAGAGTTCCAGCTCCGAGGAAACCTTCAAAGCCCACATTCTGGGCCATCGAAGGGTGAGACCCTTCCCATGCTCACAGTGTGACAAGCTTATGGTACCCGCAGAGACCTCAGAGAGCATCAGATGGTCCATTCAGGTGCCTGACCCTTTGCGTGTGAGCAGTGTGGCAAAGCCTTTGCTCGCCGACCTTCCCTGAGGCTATGCCGGAAGACCCACCAGATGCCAGATGCCCCTTCTCCGTGTCCATGCCCAGTGTGTGGGCAGCTCCTGGCCACCCAGGGTTTACTATGGAACCACATGAGGCTCTAGACTGGGGGAAAGCCCTTCCTGTGCCAACACTGTGGCAGAGCATTCCGCCAGCTGGGCAACCTCCGAGGACACTTGAGGCTGCACACAGGGGAGCGCCCGTATCAATGTCCACACTGTGCCGATACTGTCCCCCAGATTCCCGAGCTGAAGTGCCATCTCATCTCCCACACTGGTGAGGCCTACCTGTGCCCTGTGTGTGGGAAGGTCCTCTGAGACCCACATATACTCTGTACTCATGAGCACCTATACTCGGGGGAGAGGCCCTTTCAGTGCCCCCAATGTGGCCGAGCTAACACACTGGCCACCAAGCTATGCCATCACCTCAAGTCCCACATGACAGACAAGCCCTACCAATGCCCTATCTGTGGCATGGGCTATGCCCTCCCTCAAAGCCTCAAGCAGCACCAGATGAGTCACCAGCATGGGGTTTCCTCCAGCCCTTCTCTGCCTCCCGCTGCCTCTGAGCCCACTATGGTGCTCCTCAAAGTGAGCCAGAGCTGCTGGACATATGCAGCGAACAAGAAGTGCTCCCCACCCCAAGTGGGGTTATTGTGGAGGTCACCATCTCTGAGAACCAGGAAAAGTGTTTTGTGGTACCAAAGGAGCCAGCCCCTAGCCCTGGTGCTGATCCACAAGGACGTGGACTTTAGTGGCTGGGCCGAGGTGGTAGAGGTAGAAGCCGGCACCTAACACCTTCACCGTGTCCACCCCCGTCCCTATAAGAGCTCTATATAAAGACAGAGAGAGAGAGAGAGAGAGAGAGAGGGTGTGGATCTGGAAGAGAGGAGGAGGAGCTGGGATGATTAGGGGAAGAAGAAATCATAATCAAAATATACTTATGAAAAAAATCTATTTTCAATAACGTTTTTGATGAAGCTAATGATGCCAACATATTAATCTTCACTTTTAGCTCCCAGAACTGTGAGAACATAAATTTCTGTTGCTTAAAACATCCATCCTGTAGCACTTTGCTATGGCATGCCCAGCAAAGTAATAACCCTAATATTTCATCCACTTAGCTTCAAAGTATTCTTATATTTTCTACAGTGTTTCTGCCAGTGGCCATGCAGTTTATTTTCATCTTGCTCACACTTGATCATTTCAGTTCAGAAATTCAATTTTCATGGGTAATATAAGGGTGACTTACATTTGTTATTCCCATTGTACTGGAACTCTGTAAATGAATTCCTTGAGGTTTTGGAATCTGTTCTTTTTTATGAAGTCTGGGAACTAGCTATGGGATGGAATTATCCTCAGCTCACTTCCTTCAGTCCCTGTGTTCATGCTTTCTATTTTCCATCAGTTGGTCTGAAAAGGAAGACTACGGCCAGGCAGTCATGGCACACGTCTTTAATCCCAGCACTCGGGAGGCAGAGACAGGTGGATCTATTGAGTTCGAGGCCAGCCTGGTCTACAGAGTGAGTTCCAGGACAGGCTTCAAAGCTACACTGAGAAAACCTGTCTCGAAAAACCAAAAAGAAGAAGAGGAGGAGGAAGAGGAAGAGGAGGAGGAGGAAGAAGAGGAGGCAGAGGAGGGGGAGGGGGAAGAAGAGAGAAAAGGAAGACTATGAAGCAACTGTTCTTATTTATTCCAGACAGAAGGAGGCACCTACAGAATTTTGTTCACTTGTTGAAGTGTTTTTAGAGTGACTATGTGTGTGGTAGATGGGAAGAAAGAGACAAAGTTAGGAGCCTGCCTCAGCTGACCCTCCACTCTGCACTGGAGAAAGTAAATAAAGCTTTGAGAAAGGAACATATCCAAGTATTGATTTACTAGCTATTCCAGCAAAACCACTGCTCTTATAGCTGCTGGAATGTTCATCCAAGTTAACGTGGAGAGTGTTTATGTCGGTAGGGACAGATAACAGAAGTCTATCAGCTGAAAGAACTCGCTGAAGATGGAAGGTGTACAACTTGACAAAACATCTTGTTGGTCTGTTCTTCATGTTAACTTCTGCCTCTTGTTCCCATCTGGTGTGGAAGTCACTTCCATACAATAGATTAAACTTTAATGTGATTGTTCTTCAAGATGGCTAGTGGCATCATGAATCAACACCTCTCACTCTGCTCTGTAGAGCTCTACAAGGGCCCTTGACATTGCATACCTGGGAGCCTAAAGCAGAAGTGTTTGACAGAGGACAAAGGACATCACATCTCTCCAAGCCAAGTGTGTGCTATTACCAGAATCACTTAGGAGAAAGCCAGGCTCTCACATCCAGTTTCCGATCAACACCTCCTGCTTTAAGAGGAAATGGGTGTTTCTGAGTACTCTGGGTATGTTTTGGGGCTCTTCAGGCTCTCTTGAGTCTTCCAGATGCTTCCCTCAACCCCTCAGGAATGTGGAAAGAGCTAAGACACTTCCAAGAAGAACAAGTGCATTTCATAAATGAGCAGTAACCATGGAGTAGTTGCCAAATTGCATGAACTTCCTGTTAAAAATGAGTGGAAATGTGGAAAATATAGAAAAGTTTCCTTCTTTAGTCCATCCCTCACCATCAGCACTGTGTTAATCTTGCTCTCTTTGAGTGCCCATGGCCCCTGCACATATGTTCTTAAATTCCATTCATACAATAGCTTTCTCCTCTTTAAATGGCTGTTTCTGGTAAAAATGTAGTGTTCATAGAACGACATTTATCTTTCCACTTGAGCATTATTTAAAAATTTTTTTGAATTACGAAATCTAGGAATGTGGACTTGAGCTAAAGCAATGACCAAAAGAAAAGACTTTTGGTTATAGAACAGAACAGTGGTGTGCAAGTTTGACAAGAAGGGGAAGTAGGGAGAAGAGTGAAGGAACATTGGTCTCTTGCTCGAGGTCTCTCTAACTGATGTTTTTTCCTTTAATGAAGTTTCATTTTCTTTTATACATCTGCCTGTGAGCATGCATAATGAAGTAGACATGGGGAAGGTTTTATCCACCAGACCTTCCCTGCTTCAGAGTCTTCACAAGTAGACAAGCGTGTGCCTTATTTTGAAACCACATGATTAATGTTGGCGGGTTTTTAAATTTTCATGGTGAATTTGCAAAGAAATACATATTTCCTAGGAGGTAGATGCTCTAAGACCGGCTTTTGACAGCTTAGCTATAGTGACACCTACTGATATGAACCATATGACAGTGGCACCAAGAAAAGCAGAAACACTAGGACGCAGAGAAACCCTTCAAAAGCACAGGCTCCAACACAAACAACACCTGGACTCTGACAAATCAGAGGAGGTGTTTTTCGTTTGTTGTTTGTTTGTTTGTTTGTTTGTTTTGCTAGACACATCTTTAGTTATATAATAGAATCCAAAGTAAAATCAGATTCATATTAGAAGTTCACATGGAGACTCTATTTATAATGATTAAAAAGTACTTTACAATATTTTTTAAGTTCCTCAAAAAAACATATTTTAGGTGAGGTTTATGACCCTTCTGGTCAGAAGTCCTAGTAACCCTGTTTTCAGACATGGAGAAGGGTTGTGATTTGAATAAGAATGGCTCCCGTAGACTCATATATTTGAATGTTTAGTCATCACTATTTGAGAAGGATTAAAAGGATTAGGAGGTGTGCCTTGTTGGAGAAGAAGTGGACTTATTGGGGTGAATGCTGCCTTGTTGGAGGAAGTATATCACTGGGGGTGGGCTTTGAGGTTTCAAAAGCCCCTGCCAGACCCAGGTTCTCTTTTTCTCTCTCTGCTGCCTATGGACCAGGATGTAAAGCTCTCAGCTCCAGAGCCATGCCTACCTGCGTGCCACCATGCTCCACATTACGATGATAATAGACTAACCCTCTGAAACTCTTAAATGCCTTCCTTTATGAGTTTCTGTGGTTACGGTATCTCTTCACAGCAAAAGAACAGTGACCAAGACAAAGACACGGGTTTTTCTTAAAAGTGACTTGCCTTCCCTGGCCTTCATCTAAGGGCTAGTTTCCACCTTAGGAAATACCAGACAAGCTCTGTGTAGTGGTTCAAATGCAAAGAAAAAGACAGGTGTCAACAAAACTGGCTTTGAGGAAATGTCCATTGAAATGCCTTGTATTTCAGAAAAGGAATTACCACAGAACTTATTTCTTTCTTGAATGTGGAAAAAGTACATCCTGCTTTTTCCTCTATGCAGGTGTGAAGAATCTATTATGAAATCTTAAAAAAAAAAAAAAACAAAAAAAACCTTCTTACTTAACACATTTAAAGTGTGCTCTAAACATGCTGGAGTTATTTAGTCTTCTTTAACAGCATTTATAAGAAGTGTCCACAGCAACCCCCCTTCCTGGTGTGTGTGTGTGTGTGTGTGTGTGTGTGTGTGTGTGTGTGTGTGTGTGTGTGTGTATGTGTATGTGTGTGTGTGTGCTTATGTGTTTATGTGTTTAAATGAGTGAGAAATTTTTGTCTCAGTCAGTTAAAGAGTCATCATGCTGGAGTAAGACAGTGAACATGCATATATATATATAGTTTTCACATATGAGTGTAGGGGAGCACAGCCCTTAGAACTTCACAGGGCTCTTCCATTATAGTAAGTCATGTGCTCTGGCTCCTTAATAGCTTCAGAATAAACACACCTTGGAACCGCCCCCCTGGGTTTCTAAAGGCTGCTTGTGAGTTAAGGATGGTTAACTTACCATTTCCAAAGCGGTCTCCTTCAAACTCGAAGGCTTGGAGACGAATGTTTATTGTTTTCATTTGAAGCTGAGCTGACAGCTGGAGGCTCTGCTCAGTCACACACTTGGAGGAATGCCCGACTACTGTCTCAAACATCATCATAGCACGCTTCATTCCCTGGTAAGTCTTCTCTGAAGACAAAGAGTAAACTGTGATATGCAAGAATCCTGACAGTATCAACTAAGTTCCAGTGCTACTGACCTGCTAATGTCCAGACCATTGCCTTCATTCAGATGTGGCCTTGGAGTTTTGCAATCTTCTCTTCATGAAAAAAAAAATACTCTAGGTGTGCAAATGTTTTCTGTGGCTCTGTTTGGAATTTACGTAAATGTTTCCCATAGTTTCCCAAGTGGGAACAGTGAACTGAGTGTTTTTCCTCTGGATTCGTTCACATCATTAGAGACAATTTTCAATTCCTGGAGCTATGGAGAGTTTCCTAAAGACTGTAGAAAGAGGAGTGATATTGTTCTAACACTTATAGTGCATGATAATGAATCAGTACAAAACCAGACTAGTCCACAATGGTGCAGCTGCATGCCCTGGGACTGGATCAGTACAGCAGGAGGAAGAACCTACCAGGAAGGAGATTGCATCCATCTTGGAAATGTATCCCATTCCTTCTGTTTGCTGTCCAGGCAAGGGACCTGCTCATTATGTCAGATATAACCTTTTCAAAAAGGTGATCGTTAAGGCAGCTGGAGTTTAACATATGACAGATTTCATTGGTTCCAATTCGACAATCACTAAGCACTCTTCCAATCACACTTTGTCTTCATAAATAACAAAAAAAAAATTCATGGGCCAGAGCCAAAGTGTCTTGTCTGTTTGTCAGTTACAGTAAGGAATAATATCACAAAAATTAACAGGTTGGAAAAAAGAAAATAAAATTAACAAGTTGGCCCTAATTTATCTGTTTACATTGTTGTATCATGTAATATACATTGGTAGCTTTCTTTATATATTATCTACCTATCTATATGCCATCTGTCTGTCTGTCCTGGGTATCATACTGCTGTCATCCACATTTTTAGCCTATCATCACTACTGTAGTGATAATAAATTACTGTTGCTAATACTAGCACCAGCAGCACAATGACATGAAAACCATCATCACTGTGTCTACTGTTCTTCCTGCTAATAATGCTTAGCCCTTGATCACATGAACCTAGAACTGGTTTCCCCATCTGTTACCCTTTAGGTTAATTTCTAGTCTGATATTCCTTTGCCACATTTCTTGAGAGTTGACAACCCTACTACTGACTAAAATCTGGTCCATCCCTAGTGATAACATTAAGCAATTTCTATTAGCACTCATAATACTTATTCTCTAGCCTAGATAAGACAAGTGTAAGTTAACATATGAAAATGAGTTGTCAGTTGTGACATTTTTATTTACATTTAACCAGAATCACTGACAAAATCCTCTTAAATAACATCAATAAAATATAACAAATATTTTAAATAGACTTTGCCCCCACTGTTTCATTTCTTAGCAAATTTCAATAGTTAGAGATCATTAATTAGTAATGTTTAAGCCAACCAAAAGATAACATGTTGAAAGGAGAAAACAGAAAATTCCAAAGCCAGTAAGTGGCACAGTAAAGAGGCTCAATAAAAATGTGTCATCTAAGGCTAGGCTTTCTGGGGAAATATCTGAGGCCCTCCATAGACTTGTTAGGTTCATTTAGGAGCATTATCTCTCTAAACATGAACATTGGTAATTTTTTTTAGACATGCCCCACTATGGATAGTTTTCCATGAGGGAACCAAACTGAACTTTCATAAATGCAAATTTGATACACCATTTCCTTAACCCAAATCTTCCTATGGTATATTTATATACTTTAGAATAAAATCTCAAGTCTTTAGCTTACCTGCCCATAGGCCCTACATGCCCTGGACTGGCCATCCCTGGAACCTCCTCTACTGTATGTTCACTCTCTAGGGCACTTTAGGACCCTGCTGTTCCTTGGATGCTATGGTGGCTTGATTGAGAATGACCTTCCATAGGCTCAGGTATTTGAATATTTTGTCAGTTGGTAGCACTGCTTGTGGGTTTGGCCATGTTGGAGGAAGTACATCACTCTGGTTGGGCTTTGAGATTTCAAAATTTCAGGCCATTCTCAATGTTCTCTCTCTCTTTCTCTCTCTCTCTCTCTCTCTCTCTCTCTCTCTCTCTCTCTCTCTGTCTCTCTGTCTCTCTCTCCCTCCCTCCCCCTTCTCTCTCCCTCCCTCCCCCTTCTCCCTCCCTCCCTCCCTCCCTCCCTTCCTCCTTCTCCTCCTCCTCCTCCTCCTCCTCCTCCTCCTCCTCCTCCTCCTCCTCCTCCTTCTTCTTCTTCTCTCTCTCTCTCTCTCTCTCTCTCTCTCTCTCTCTCTCTCTCTCTTTCTCTTTCTCTCTCTCTCTGTCCTGGCTTACAGATCAAGACGTAAGTCCTCTGTTTCTTGTCCCATGCCCCAGTCACCATGCCTGCCTGCTGCCACACTAATCTGCCATGATACTGATGAACTGCTGCCATCTGTAAAAGTTGCCCCAATCCAGATGTCTGTAAATGGTGAAACTGTGATCAGACTTCATATCATCAAAGCAGTCTTTCTCCTCTGGAGGTTTCCCAAAGGACACATGAAATAGCTCTCCGACATTCTGGTGGGGTTTACTCATAGAACTCATTACCACTTAAGAATATAGTTTAACAAAGCTGTGTATGGTACTCTTCCCTTCTGGAATGCAAGCTCTACTTAAAAATATAGTTTAACATGCCTGTGTATAGTGTTCTTCTCTTCTGGAATGCAAGCTCCACGATGACAGAATCTTATCAGTTTGGATAATTATGGCTCCTTGGTGTCTAACACAGACAGATTTTGATACTCATATTTTTGTAGAATAATATACAATTCAGAGTACAGAATAAATTGCACTCCAACAACAAATCAAAAGGGTACTGAACTGCAATTTCTAAAGATAATGATTGCCAGTATAATCTAGACCACCATCCTCCATGATCAGATAAATTGAAGTACATACATGTTGTAAATTCTCCCAAAGTTTTAGTTTTATTGTAGACTACTACTTTGTTCTTTTAAAAAGAAAAGCATCAAAGAGTATCAGAGTCAATGACAAGAAAATGAATGAACCAGGAATTAATGATATGACAGTTGTTCTCTTACTAACCTGTATTTGAGATAGTCAAATAGGCTCCCACTTCACTGATATAATATGAGTTTTCTTCCTGTAAAACAGCAATGTGTTAATCTTTGGGTAATCTCCATTTTTATATTTATAATCTCAGCTATTAAATCCTTGATATGAGAGCTAAAGTATATGTTTGTGCTAGTCAAAATTATATTTGAAAATTTCAACCAAAGTAAACATACCACACAATAAATTTTAAAAAGTAATAAGTGACTCCTGGATCCAGATTTCTCTATTTCTTACTTGTTGCTAGAGCCTGAAACTAAAATTTTACCAGAAGAATTTCAATTCTTCCATTTCCAAATTGGAATTACATCTGAAAGGCAAAGATGAATGGTTAATAGAGGTGGATGGTATTAACTTAGACTATGTATTCTCAAAATACATTGGGTGGAGTTTTTCACTCTAGAGAAAATAAAATAACTGTATATGCATTTTCCTTGGTAAAAGGTCAATTGGTCTAGAAAGATAAATAGATTCAGCTTTTCAGATTGGTTAAATGGGCCACCAAAAATGGGAAGACTCCATTTTTCCTGGAGTCCATATCTTACCCCCACATTTTATGTAGGAGTTTTCATTTTGGAAATCCAAATAAACTATACAATAGCCCTACAATATCTTGAAAGACTGGAGCCACAGAATGTTCATTTAATTTGGGCATGAAGGAGTCAATTTAAAAGTAAATTTGTGTATCTATTTGGTGATGAGAATTGAATTCATGGTCTCATGCATAATAAGCATATACTCTACCCCTGAGCTACATCCTTGACATCTTTCTGTTTTTCAAAGTTAGTGATTTATATTGTTATCACCACAAAAGTGTAAAAATAATGATAATATAACCAAAATCAGAATATAAAATCAAATTACTTTTAAAAGTTTCACATGTAATCATGAAAAAAATTTGATAATTATGATTACATTATAGTCCATATCCCTGTTATTCATAGATGAAGTGATGATTCATTGCACAGTACAACCTACTTTAGAAAGACCAATGATAAGATACAGGAATTCTAGACTGGCCTACCATCATGCCTTCTTAGTTTGTACCACAAACTATAGCAGACACTCCCATGCATTATCCTGATTAATTCTCACAATTATGAGAAAAAAATGAAGATTGAGTGTTATTCAAGGACACAGCACTATGGGGACAGGGTAAGATATCACCACCCACTGCTAAATCCAAACTAGAATTAACTTGTCTTTAATATCCACTCCATGCCATACATTGTTCAAGGACCTGGCAGAACAGGCTCTCCTCCAAAGTACTCAATGTCATCAGTCTTAGAGGCAAGAGGAAGAGCACATTTGGGCTATCTATTTGTTGCTGTGGGAAAATCCTTCTGTATGCTGTGAATATGTATTACTCTCTTTGCTTGATAATAGAGCTGTTTGGCCTATAGCAAGGCAGCATAAAGTTAGGTGGGACAATCAAACTGAGGATTGGGATGAAGAAAGGCAGATGTAGCTGGAAATTTTCCTGTGTCCTACCCAGTCCTGCAGCCGCTCAGACCCAAATAAACATGCAGAGGCTTATATTAATTATGAACTGTATGGCCATGGCCTATGGCTCAAGCTTCTTGCTAGCTAGCTCTTGTAACTAAACTTGGCCCATTTCTATTCATCTATATGTTGCCACATGTTCCATGGCTTTACCTGTGTGCCATTACATGCTTCTCCCTGGATGGCAGGATGGCATATTCTCTGCCTCTCTTTCTCCTTTCACTATCTCCCTTGGATTTTCCTGCCTGACTCCATCCTGCTGTGCCACAGGCCAAACGGCTTTATTTAGCAACATATATTCACAGTACACAGAAAGATATCCCACAGCAGGCAGAATCAAGAAAGATGTCAGCTGGAAACAACCCAGATGCCCTTCAACTGAAGAATGGATAAACAAAATGTGGTACATATACACAATGGAATACTACTCAGCAGAAAAAAACAATGGCATCATGAGGTTTGCAGACAAATGGATGGATCTAGAAAAAATCATCCTGAGTGAGGTAACCCAGACTCAGAAAGACAAACATGGTATGCACTCACTCATAGCAGGATACTAGACATGAAACAAGGATGAATTGTCTGCTACTCACATCACCAGGGAGGCTACCCGGAAAACAGGACCCCAAGAAAGACACAGGGATCGCCCAATGACAGAGAAATGGAATGAGATCTACATGAACAGCCTGGACATGAGTGGGGGTAATGAAAGGCGAGGGTCGAGGGAAAGAGAGCTTGGGGGAGCGGGAGATCCCAGCTGGATCAACAACAGAGAGGGAGAACAAGGAATAGGAGACCATGGTAAATGAAGACCACATGAGAACAGGAAGAAGCAAAGTGCTAGAGAGGCCCACAGAAATCCACAAAGATACCCACACAACAGACTGCCGGCAATGGTCGAGAGACAGCCCGAACTGACCTACTCTGGTGATGGGATGGCCAAACACCCTAATTGTTGTGCTAGAAACCTCATCCAACTACTGAGGGATCTGGATGCAGAGATCCATGACTAGGCCCTGGGTGGATCTCTGGGAGTCCAATTAACGAGAATGAGGAGGGTTTATATGAGCGAGAATTGTTGAGACCAAGGTTGGATAAAGCACAGGGACAAATAGCCAAATGAATGGAAACACATGAACTATGAACCAATGGCTGAGGGGTCCCCACTGGATCAGGCCCTCCGAATGGGTGAGACAGTTGATTGGCTTGACCTGTTTGGGAGGCATCCAGGCAGTGGGACCAGATCTTGTGCTCATTGCATGAGTTGGCTGTTTGAAACCTGGGGCCTATGCAGGATTGTTTGGCTCGGCCTGGGAGGAGGGGACTAGACCTACCTGGACTGAGTCTACCAGGTTGACCTCAGTCTGTGGGGAAGGCTTTGCCCTGGAGGAGATGGGAATGGGGGGGGGGGGCGTTGGGGGGAAGGTGAGGGGGACGGGAGGGGGGGAGAACAAGGGAATCCGTGACCGATATGTAGAACTGAATTGTATTGCAAAATAAATTTAAAAAAAAAAAAAGAATGCCATTAGAGAGCACCTGAGGCCTTTGGGAGGAGTTTCCTGTCTTACTATAACCAACAATGTATTTTAAAAAATAAAAAAAAATAAATAAATAAAAAAAATAAATAAATAAATAAAAAAAAAAGAAAGAAAGATGTCAGCAAGCCACCCAAGAAAGAAGATGCTAGAGGACCAATAAAGCCATGGGCCATGTGACAATACATAGCTTAATAGAAATAGGTTAATTTAAATGTAAGAGCTAGTTAGTAATAAGCCTGAGCTATCAACCAAGCATTTTGTAATTAATATAAGTATTTGTGTGTTTATTTTGGACTAGACAGTTGGGACAGAAAAGCTCTGCCTCCATTTAAAATTTGCTTTAGGAGAAAGTATCTGTGGCTTAAGTCCTGTCTGGGCTGCTTTCATGTACCATCTATTCAAGTTATCCTTTACCTAGGATTTATTTCAGTATAAAAGAAAACTTTACTTTCAAATCCACAGTCTAGGTTACAAAATTCCCCTGCCCCAGCTGGGTGTGGTGGAACACACGTTTAATCCCAGCACTTTAGAAGTAGAGGCAGACAGGTCTCTATGAATTTAAGGCCAATCTGGTCTACATAGTGAGCTCCAGGCCAGCCAGGGATACATAGTGAGAACCTATCTCAACCCCTGCCAAAAGAAAAGACTCCTACCATATATTAAAGCAAAGAAAGGATCTATTGAGGGGTTTTAAGTTGGATAATATGCTGGATGCTGTGTTTGCACATTACTTAGGCTATGGTGTTAGACTCTTTTAAGGAGCAGCAGAATTGTTACAATACTACTCTGAATCTTCCCTACCCTTGGTATCTCCATGATCTTGGGTATAGGTGTTTGGCATTTCTAGAAGGGTGTCATGGTCTACTCAGTACACTCTTTCCACTCTGTTGCCCCATTTGGTCTTCACAATAACCCTCTAAGACACAATAATATCATCAGCCAGTTTTAGACTGACTGATCAGAAAGCTCAGAGTAGTTATGCATTTCCCTCAGATTCACACAGTTTGTAGGTGAGATGAAGCAGATGCTGCTTTAAGGATAATGCCCTAGCTTACCCTCAAGAACTTCACAGTAAGACCCTATTTCTGAAGTTACCACATACTTGAGTCATAGAACATGGAGAGATCAAGCTGATCCTCACCTGGAAGCTTCATCCTTACTGACTAGCCCTCATAGTACTGGAAGTTGCTGTGAATGCAACTGGAGGCAAAAAGTAATCATCCGTCTCACCCAGCTGTGAACCCAGAGAGTTATAATTACACCTACCCTGGCAAAGGAAGTCATTGGTTTAGTAGCACAAATGTTGTGAAGTGACCAACAACTTTCTGTCTTGATTTAAGGCTTGGGCCACGATATAGATGACCTGGCATGGTTATCATGGGTAAGAACCTGTGGCAGATAGGTCATAGATCATAGTGGAGAACCTGCTACTATTTTTAAACTGATTTCTAATGACTTATTGCAGACCTGTAAATTAGTACATCTTCTCATCAGAGAAGATTCTTCATGCAGTAGGTTGTTATTACCACAGAGACCCACAACTGGTCAAAATGCAGATAATATAAGACTGCATAGGTATTAGCCCATAATATGACATCTGTGTTTCATCCTTCCCCATAAGGCTAAGGGATCAGTGTGGAAGAGGGAGCAGAAAGGTTGTAAGAGCCAGAGGCCATGGATGACTGCAATAAAACAAGTGTTTTCTGGATATCTCAGGTCACTTGCTCATGTGTGTTCACAGCAGTTGTGACAACATGCACAAGACCTGTGCAAAATCAAGCCAGACAAAGTCCCAGGATAAGAGAGGAGGTGGACATAAAATTCTACCTCTAGGTCAAGAGCTATTGACAACAGATAGCTGCTGAGAGGGGAAGAGTCAGTTTTCTTTAAGGGTTGACTATACTCTGAGGGCTGTCCCCACACCCAAAAGTATTTGGAAAATATAAATTGAACTTGATGTGCTTTTAATAAAAAAATGCAAACCTGGGTG